TTTCGTTGGAGGTAGTGACAATGACCTGGATCGTTTGCGCTTAGCTCTGCATTCGCGCGCAATATGACCTGCTTTATCGCAGTTGTAGCATCTATTCCTGGGCTTAGTCATCCCTACTAACTTTGTTTCTTCTATTACCTGCCTCATGGCGTCCTTGATCGAATTAACGAGAGATTTGGGTTCGCAACTTTCGGTCTCCAGTTGGCGAATCTTGTGGGTCTGGGGCTTAACAATTATTCTTGCCGTCTCTTGGGCAAGGGCAAACGACACGGTTTCGGCAAATGACGTTTTTGGTGACGCATATGTTGCACATTTAATCTCAGGGTCACGTATGCCATTCACAAAGGTTTCGATTTTCATACGGTCCACCAATGGGTGATTCTCTCCTGGATACGTCATTAGCACCAAACGTTCCACCTCAGCTGCAAAGTCTTGTAACGTCTCGTTTGCCCTCTGTACTCTTCCCCTTAGTTCCATAAGGTAGATGTTTTGTTTATGTTCGCCACCGTACTTACGTTCCAGTGCAGCAATAACATCTTCATAGTTGTTCCTAGAAGCGACAGGAATACTCTGTATAACATCAGCAGCACTGCCCTTCAATGCCAGAAGTAGTGCAACCGCTTTGTCGCTGTCGTTCCATGAATTTCTAGAAGCCACTGTCTCGAACTGTAACTTGAAAACATTGAATGACGTAGAGCCGTCGAATACAGGAGGTTTGATTTTTAGTGTGTTATCGGGAGCTCGCACCGGACCACCTTTAATTTCCATTTCCGAAATTTTCTTCTCCAGATTCGTAAACCTGTGGTCGTGGGCCAGAAATTTCTCGTCAACCGACTGCACTTTCTTATCCAACTCTTTAATTTGGACCTCCACGGTTTCCACTCTCCTTCCAATAACTTCTGTAATGTTCTCGAGTTTCTCGTTCATTATTCTCGAATTTTCGTCAAACATTCTACAATTCTCTGCCTTGAGTTCATCTAACTGTTTCTGTTTTCTGCTCGAACCTTCTGAAATTTTCCTCAAACATTTTAGCCAGCATTTCTCTCAAATCGTCACCCCTGGCAGCTACTGACGAGACTTCCCCACCGCTGGATTCGCCCATTTCCGATAAATCCACTTCATCCTTACTGTCAAACTCATATGTATCGATGTTCATACCACGGCGCTCGAACTCATCCAACAGACGTTTTTGTAGTTCAGCCTTGTTGTCAGTAGAGGACAATTCCAATTTATTGAGCTCCTTCTTCAAGTCTTCCACTCGTAGATCCTTAAACTTCATCGTAGTATTATCGTAATCTCACTTCCGACACCAATTGTTACGTTCTTGGACTTTACTTAATCCCGTGTAGACGTTGTTTTATTTCCCGATACAGTTCGTACCAAATAAAACGCGGGTTCTTTCTGATTACGATTATTACAATGATTTTATTCACACAACTTTACCTTGCACTTTACTTTACACGACGGTTTCAATTCGCGATCTGATTCACAACTGACTAACTGCCTTTCCATTTCCTCTATTTATATGAGCCTTGCCTGTCGCTACAGTAGTTTCTAGACGATCTGGTAACGCCTAGATTACGTACAATCTAACAATAACAAAAACACATACAAACTTACATTGAGTGAACAATAACAACAACACATATGCAGGCGAGGGGGTAACAATGAAAGAGGAATTAAGCGATCATCAATGATGACGTTTAACAAGAATTGTACGTCAACAACAAAATAGACAATGAAAGAGGAAATGGAAGGATGTAGAAAAATCTATACAGTAGTTGTTGTTGTGAAGTTATTCGAATAAACTGCGTAGTAGACATTTACGTTACAATTCAAATTCTTAAATTAACGGATTTCATCTAAATTAACTTAAATCTAATGTTATATTCGTAACAATATGTATTTGGTTATAATCGTGCAACCTTACAGCAATCATTAAAATGCAACCTTACAGCAAATCAGAGAAAAATCTGTCAGACTATTGGGAATATTTCTCGTTTTTCGCAATATTTTAATTTTTTAATAAAATCGTAAATGTGAAGTTTTTTTCACAATATGGGCTTGCAAATATAGTTATATGTGGGAAATATTTAAACATGTATTAACTTATCATTTTATTATCACAGAAAACTGCATATGTCAGAAATACTAAACAATCCACTTTTTAATATCGACCATATTTTATGATTCGAGCTCTAAAGGTTCACCCAAATCCAAATTTTACCAAATTTAGTTCCATTTAGGACCAGAGCTCCGAAATGCTCGCTCGAATTCCAGTAAAGAGTGAAAAATTAAAACGAGTCTACTCTATTTTTCTCTTCCACTCAAAAAAGAGCGCATGTGCTTCGCTCGTATTCGAGTGCGAGTGAAATTAGCTCGTAATCGAGCAGATTCCACTCTTGGCGAGTACTCTTTTATTTTTATTTATTTTATTATTATTATTATTATTTTTTTTTTTTTTTTGATACCGTTGTTCCGTTTGATGTTGTTTGTGTTCTTTGTTTGTTTGTTTTGTGATGTTTGGTTTGTAACTTGTCACATGTGTAATGATGTATATGATCTATCTCCCCACATCACACAAACAACCAAAAAATCAAATTTATTTGTCCACTCGATTTCACTTTTAGAGTGAACTCTTACTCTATTTCGAACGTTTTAACTCTCACTCTTTTTCTTCAATAAGTAGAACTCGCGAGCACTCCCAAACAAAATAAAAGAGTGAAGAGTATACTCCTTAAAAAACTCGTACTCTTCTCGTACTCCCACTCGGAATTATTTTTCACTCGCGAGTAAAATCGAGCAAATCGGAGCTATGTTTAGGACACATTATTTCCATAAGTACCCTCCTCAACCATCCAACAAAACTTCGTGCATACCCCGATCCTTCACCCCCCCACAATAATTTCAAATTTCAGTATTCCAACTCTATTGGTTCACACACAATTCAAATTGTATTAAATTAAGTACATCGTAGTACCATTTTCCAAAACTTTCTACTTACCTCAAACCAACACCCCACAGTGATTCTAAATCCAAGTTTCAAGATTCCAACTCTATCGGTTCACCCACAATTCAAATTGTACACAATTTAGTACACAATAGTACCAATTTCCAAAATTTCCTACACCCCAAAAGTGATCCCAAATCCAAATTTCAGGATTCCAACTCTATCGGTTCACCCACAATTCAAATCGTACCAAATTTAGTACACAGTAGTCCAATTTCCAAAACTTCCCACATACCCTAATCCTACACCTTCACAGTGATCCTAAATCAAAATTTCAGAATTCTAACTCTATCGGTTTACCCACGATTCAAATTGTACCAAATTTAGTACACAGTAGTACCGATTTTCAAAACTTCCTACATACCCCAATCCTACACCTCCACAGTGATCCTAAATCAAACTTTCAGGATTCTGTCTCTATCGGTTTACCCACAATTCAAATTGTACCAAATTTAGTACACAGTAGTACCAATTTCCAAAACTTCCACATACCCAAATCCTACACCTCCACAGTGATCCTAAATCGAAATTTCAGGATTTAAACTCTATCGGTTCACCCACAATTCAAATTGTACCAAATTTAGTACACAGTAGTACCAATTTGCAAACCTTCCCACATACCCAATCTTACACAATTACAAAATGAATCCTGACCAGAATCCTACACCCCCACAGTTATCCTGACTCCAAATTTAATTGTTCCCGCTCTATCGGTTCACTCAAATCCAAAATGTACCAATTATAGTACGATTTAGTACTTTTCGTACACATAAGTAACAAATTTCCAAAACTACGTACATATCCCAATTCTACACTCTGACGGTAATGTTAATTTCAAATTTCACGATTCCAGCTCGATTTGTATCTCCAAATGAAATATGTACCAAATATAGTACCATATTGTACTTTTCGTACAGATGAGTACACGCTTTCAAAACCATCTCCTTAAATAGACCCTACATCTCAACCCTAATTCGCATTCCAAATTTCAAGTTTTTAGCTCTATCCATTCACATGCTACGAAATTGTACCAAATATAGTACATTTTAGTACTTTTCGAATACTTATAGTTCGAATATCCAAAAAATCCTTTGCTATATCTATTCTACACTCCATCAGTGACCATCATTTATAATTTAAGAGTTCTAGCTCTACCGGTTCGCCAAATACAAATTGTATCACCTTTAGAACTTTTCGTACCTTCCTAGTACGAATTTCCAAAAACCCAGCCTTATCTGTCACCTTTGAACCAAGAGTGACCCTCACCCAAAATTTCAAGATTCTAGCTTCAGCCGTTTCGTCTGGGCGTTGATGAATCGTTAAGTCCGTCAGTCAATCACTTTACTCTTTTATTAGTATAGAATAGAACTAAATTTAGTATTTTTCGTACACTTATAGTTCGAATTTCCAAAAACCCTTTTCTACACCTTTCTTACTTTCCATCAGTGGAAATACAAATGGTACCATATTTCGTACATACTTCTCGTTCGAATTACACGCCTATAAACCAACAACAACCACACTCAAAATTTCAAGCTTCTAGCTTTAGCCGTTTCGTCTGGGCGATGATCTGCCAGTCATTCACTCACTCACTTAACACTAAGCTCTTTTATATATTAAGATTTCTTCCTAAAACATTGAAAGATTTTATTCTCGAATGCCTAATTTTAAATGTTATTTACATCTGAATTTGAAAATATTTTCATTTGTTGTCACTTTTAAGACATTACATAATTGTGTCATGTTGATTGAAAACAATTAAAAGGTTATCAAACGCACGAACATTTTTTTTAGAAAATTCTTGTACGTAATTCTGTTAGCCAACAACGTTGTTCAAATGCCCGTCAGAACATGGCATAAGAAAGCGTTTGTACATATTCCGACAGTTCATTTCGCTGAACAGGTTATTTGAACTGCTGGCAAATTCCGGTAAAATACTTTGTTTTGTTGACAATACGTTTGTGTGAAATCATAAGCTATTTCTTTCGCAATGGAAAACTACGTAGATGTTGTTCTGGATATTGAACAGCAGGAATTGGAGGTGCCCGTTCTCAGTTCTGCGCTGTACACAAAATTGTTTGCCTGTTATTTGCTACAAAATAGATTGAACGATGCAAAGTTTTTATGGAAGCGCTTGCCACAAAAGTTATGTGCCGAAAATGAGGACCTAAAGGAATTGTATATCATCTTGCGATCTCTTCTTTCCAATAATATCCAACAGCTTATTCAACGCATAGGAAGGGATTGGCCGGATGATATCAAACCCATTATGGAAAGCTTATTACGAACAACCCATGGGAATATTCCTAAAACTGTGGAGAACGCGTATGCATCCATAGTAAAAGAAAATCTGATTGAAGCTGTCGAAGCCTATCAAAAATATGTGAATGAGACCTCAACGAATGATAGCTCCACCCCGTTACATGGATCCCAGAATGCAACCACAATTGTTAGTTCTGAACATCAATTGTCTAAGTTGACAGGCTTTGTATCATTTTTGGAAAATTGATTTAATAAAATGTCCATATAATACAAAATACTTGTAATGCTCTCCAACTATCTCATTATAAACAATCCAATTATTTACAAATAAAAGGTTGACAATGCCGAATCAAAAAAGAATGGAATGGAATAATTGTCAATATTGGACTAATTTTTGGGATAGACCCCATATTATGATTTATTCAAAATCACTAAATATCAATCTTAAATTAGTCTTCAATAATATTGCCATATATCTCTGTGTAAAATGTCATCAAGCTAAGTTCATTTATTAGGCAGAAATTTTTGGTTTTTGTCAATGTGGATATTAAAAGATTAATAAGTATATTAAAATTAAATATTGGTTTTTTTAAAAATCAGTTTTGAGTGGTTTTCACAATGGTAGACAAGAAAAAAATGCACACGGAATGGCGAATAATTTAAAATATGCTATACTGTACAAATCAATGAGTTGACAATCTCTAGAGAGGTACCAGAAGGTTTAGTCTATTGACCCCATATTTGGATTTAATGTAGGTTGGGTAAAATATTGCTAGGTGCAAACAATAGATAAAATCGGTTATTAAATTCGCTTCAAACCATATTTAGGAATTTATTAAATGTTAATTATATTCGGACTGGGTAAAAAATATTACGATTTGCAAAGTTTGGATCAAGTTGGACTTTATTTTAGTTCGGAAAAAATAGTTTGAATGAATTCGGTTACTCCCTTCTAGAGTTATCGTGTGCACCATCCAGACAGGCAGACGGACATTTGTAAGTCGACTCCAAATTGTCTGAAACGGATTTGGTCCAAAGATACTTGGGGTATAAAACCAATACTTTGACTTTGCCTATATATACCAACATTAGATATAAGGCTGAGGCTATAAAAATATCATCATCAATAATGACTCTAGTTTACTCCAATTTATGTTCGTGATCAGTGAATATAAGTTAAATGCTAAGGAATCGTTTCTGAGTCATTTTACCGACAAAAAAAATGTCATGCTTAAAATAAAAATTTAATTGTTCGGACTGCTAACAAAAAATATATTGGAGCTTTCCATCACAGTTTGCACGGAAGCTATCATGGAAAAAGATCCCAGCATAATATAAATATGCGCACTTCCGGAGTCACTTACACGACTTTCATAGGCTAAATCAAATCGGTTCGGATTTAGTTATAGCTCCCATATATATGTTCGTCCGATTTAAGGTATGTCTATTCTATCTACAGGATATGGTTCATATGAGCATATCTTGTATGTACCCAAAGTGGTGAAGGGTATCATATAGTCGGCCCCGTCCGACTTTTAAACTTCCCTTACTGGTTTATAATTCTCCCTTAATACTTTCTTGTAGAACTATCATTGGTAAAAAAATTGAGAGCCTTCGGTTTTTAACTTTTGAGACAAAAGCCACAAAAGAGCGGTCACTCGCGACTTCAAATATACATGACTACTTTAGACATCGTTGCTAATAATCGTAAAACTCTGCGAATTGTGTGAATATTTTAAACTTTTAATATTTTTTACATGAATAAGAGATATCAAGCATTATTATTGCATGTTCAAAATTTCAAAATTTGGCATATCCTTTATTTGCGAAGGTGTCTGCATTTATAGTCATTAAATTAGTATTTTTGCTAAGAACAAGAAGATAAAATGCAAATATGGTCTTTGTATTTTTTTTTTTGCTTTTTGGTATTTAAGCACAATAAAGAAAAAAGTTCTTCGACTTTCGTTCACTTTGCACATTCCTCATATTATGCATGTTAGCTGCGGAGTAAACTCCAAACAATACAGAATGTTTGGTAGTACCAGCTCATGAACCATGTTTTCCTTTATGGTTGAGATGGTAATGACAGCTTATCATCAATAACTACACTAAGAATTTCTAAATCGGCAACAATTTGTATTTCGACCCCTTCGTATTTAACATTCAGGTCATTAGAATGGGAAGAAAATAACAGACTTAGTTTTCGACGTATTTATGTCGAACTTATTTTGAGTCATCCAACTACTCACTAAGGAAAGTGAAAAGTCCTGGTTTTAAAATGCTAACGCCAAAATATCAAAAGCACCAAAAATTACCTCATTGCTTGCTAAATTCAGCCTATAAATCACTAAAATAACGTACTGTACAGGTACACAAAAACTAAAAATTCACACTTGTCCCGGGAATAACAGCTGGACTTTATCAGCAAACTGATACGCTGAACAAAAGTTACCTATACTTGAAGTCAAATCGTTAATAAATATCGTAAAAAGTAGCGGCACAAGTACCGAACATTGGGTTGAGTCGATCCACCAACACTAACACATTGCTTCTTATGCAACAAGTAAGAAAATACCAATTGACATGCTGAAGCTTGAAAGTGGTATATATCACTAAGCTTATTCAATAACTTTAAATGATTCAGTCGATAAATTTGGGAAAAAATATTTTTGAAAATATCCCGGATTTTATTGCTTTTCTGTGGATCATTTTGGTTAAATTAATGACCTGATACGTATGTTAAGGGCCCCATACACTATACATCATGCCGTACAGCATTTATCATAGTATGTGTTATTTTTTGAAAGTTTATTTATGTATGTGTAACATACACAATGCATGAAGAAAATCAAAATAGTTTTGATTTTGAAAATGAACCCCTATCAATCTGGTGAATAATATTCATTTTGAAAGTTGTCAGTAAATAATTTTGTGTACAAAAATAATAAAATTGTGACGGAATAAAAAAACAACTGAATTTACGACTCAAAATGCAATGTTTGGGGTAAAAATCGATTTTTCTGGAATAGTGATTGAAGAGTTTGCCATACACTAGTCAATCTCACATATACAAAAAGGGGTTCAATCGGCATGACGGCATGATTTATAGTGTATGGGGCCCTTTAAACTTTTGCGAAATTAGAACTTTAATGTAATTTAGGCTCAATATATTAGGTTGGGGAAAAAGAAATTCATTATTTTTATATGAACCGGCAATTAATGCAAAGGTTTCTTCTTCCCCTTTTAGAAGACAACCAACACCACACAATCGTACTCTCTTTTCATTTTGGATTACGTCCAGCCCCCAGGGAAAATTTGTAAGTTATATTATTCTACGATAATATTTCGAATATTTTCAATAAAATCCACTGTCAATATTGACAACAAAATTCTAATCCCCTTTTGATTTATTTACTTTTATTTTTTCATATTGCTACGCAAACATATGATAGAGTAATTTCCGGTAATGTGGACTATGCGTCTAATGTGGACCACCCCCTATCTTAGAAAATTCAGGAAATATGACAATGCTGTCTTGATATATGTTTTCCTAATACGTGAAAACAAGCATCTTACATGATTTTGAATACATAATTGCAATGTTGAAAATTTAGTTAAGCTGTTATTTTGAAATATGTGATTTGAACATTTTTTGGCTTAAGAGTCAAACAATTTGCTTTTCTCAGATATACAGAAGTTATCTGGTTCTATATTTTCCACAACAGAGTATAAGGAGGTATTCTACCTCGTTTAAATACCGCAAATGGGGCGGTCCTCTTATATAGGAGATATTACTAAACAGGAACCCATATAATTTTGCATTCATTGTTACCCAAGATTGAAATAAATATAAATTAATCACAACCTACCTTTTATCTTATTGTGTTTTTTTTAATATAGTGCGATATTATATATATATATATATAATGTTTGATCTGGAATATATTTAGACAACAAAGGTGCTCGCAAAATGTCTTTCAAATTTTCAATTGAATTTTAAAAGAATTTTGAAAATTCCCATCCGATTTCGGACAAACGTACATTAATTGACTAAGGAAGTGGTTCTACGCATATCCTCAAAGTAACTATGAATTTATCTCGTTTCCTTTTGCATGTTACAAACCTATCGCTGGCTTAACGTGAAAAGGAAATAAGTCAAATGTTTCTAGAAATTGAGATTTTGATACAGGCATGTTCAAAAATAATGTAAACATAGAAATACATCGATTCAATAAAAGCAGTTATCACATGTCGCTTACTGTATTTTTTATCTCCTGTAAAATTGTAAAATACGAACTTCTTGCCTTTACATGTTAAATCAGCGATATCCATAAAGGCATAATACCCTGTACAGTGTAACTGACAAATACTGCAAAAATAAACCAAAAACTACCTTTTAGTGTTCATCAACTATTTCATTTTTATTAATGTCGCTATGATCTGGAAACCAAATAAGTCTAACAAAATGTCGGCCAAATTTCGATAATGCAACATGTTTTCATTGTTGTGCACATAGAGAATAACTTCATATTTTTAAGTAGGGAACAAATATTAAAAGTTAACAATAATATTCGATTTTCTTATAGCCTAGACAGACGAAAGCCTTCATTTGCATTAACACCCTTGATTCAAATTAACTTTTTTAATGCACAAAATCATACTGAATTTACCAATTTCAATATGACAATGCTGTCGAAAATCAATTGTTTGTTGTAAAGGCAAATTTCATATGTCTTTCAATGTGTTAGCTGTTTTACCAAAAAGAATATCTGTTATTTTCGCTTTATACGGTAATCAAATTCATACAGATCTAATTAAAAAAAGATATTGTAAAAATTAAATATTTTTGAAATTTTCGTTCTAAATTCAAACCTGTCGTCTGTCAGGGTAAATTAATTCAAATTAAGATTTTTTTTAAATCAAATTAACGCACTCGTCCGTCTACTGTATTAGGATTTAAACAACTGTATAAAAGTTCCGTTCCAGAACCTAACTGAATCTACTAATTTTACAAATTTTGCAACTTTTTACTCGAAACCCGTTCCTGAACCAACAAAACTGGTAAAACATTGAATCAAATTTTAGAGAGCACAAAACAAAATGGCGTTCTCTTTGTAAACTTTTTACTCGAGAAATTTGCCCGAGTAAAAATAGTAAAGAGGAATGCCTACTTCTGATTGGCTGTTATATTGATTTTGAAGTATTGCCATCTAATTTTGGCATATTTTCTAGATTTGCGTTCCGAAC